CAGCATACACCTGTAATCCCAGTTCCAAGGAGGTAGAGGCAAGAGAATCTCTGCAAGTTCAATGTCAGCCTGGTCTGTACAGTGCAACTAAAGTTTTTTTTGTGTCTACCGGGCTCCTGCAGCCGCTCAGAACCAAGTAAACATACAGAGGCTTATATTACTTATAAACTCTATGGCTATGGCAGGCTTCTTGCTATCTAGTTCTTATATCTTAAATTAACCCATTTCTATAAATCTATACCTTGCCACGTAGTTCGTGGCTTACCAGTATCTTTACATCATGGTTCTCTCATGGTGGTGGCGGCTGGCAGAGTCTCCTAACTCAGCCTTCCACTTCCCAGAATTCTCTCTGCTTATCCCGCCTATACTATACTTCCTGCCTGGCTACTGGCCAATCGGCGTTTTATTTATCAATCAATCAGAGCAACACATTCACAGCATACGGAAAGACATCCCCAGCACTTCCCCTTTTCTGAGAGGTGGAAACTCGAGCTGTTGGGTGCCATTTGTAGCTGGAGTTTTCTCCAGTCCCGCCTGGGCCTGCAGCCGCTCAGACCCAAATAAACACACAGACACTTATATTAATTAAAACTGTTTGGCCTAATGGCTCAGGCTTCTTGCTAGTTAGATCTTATACTTAAATTAACCCATAATTCTTATTTATGTTAAGCCACGTGGCTTGGTACTTTTTCTCAGCTCTGCCTTCACACCTTGCTTCCTTTGTGTCTGGCTGGTGACTCTTGACTCAGCCTTCCTCTTCCCAGAATTCTCTTCTCCGCTTGTCTCGCCTATACTATACTTCCTGCCTGGCTACTGACCAATCAGCACTTTATTTATTAACCAATCAGAGCAACACATTCATAGCATACAGAGTGATATTCACAGCAGACCAGTAAGCTCCAGGCTACCCAGGGCAGTGTCCCAAAATAACAACAAGGACCAAGGACCAGAAGATGGCTCAGTAGGTAAAGGCACCAGCCTAACAAAAAAGTTTGATGCCTGAGATCCACATGGGAAGGAGAGAACTGACTCTTGCTGTGGTGATACATGCCTATAATCCCAGCACTAGAGAGATGAAGACAGGAAGACTGTCTCAAAATAAATAAAAGAGTCGGACAGGTGGCCACATAAAAAAATATACCCTTAAAACTTCTATTATTAGGCTAGAGAAATGGTTTCAGTGGTCAAGAGAACTTCCTGCTCTTCCAAAGGACCTGGGTTCAGTTTTCAGCACCCACATCGCAGCTCACAACCATCTGTAATTCCAGGTCCAGGGGATCTGATGCCCTCTTCTGGCCTCCACACACCCAGGCACACCTCTGGTGCACAGATGTACATCTAGGCAAAACACCCATACACATAAAAAAACTTAAATTTAAAAACTTTTATTATCATTTTGGGGAAATTGTAGTACCTATATAATTACAATAACTTCTACTTATTTTTAAAAGGGAGACAGTATCAATGCACACACTACATCATCACACTGAACTCACTAATACAGATGTTAATAAAAAGCAGAAGAAGAGTTGTAACTTTTGTGATTTTTGTTGTTTGAAACAGGATCTTACTTAGATGAGTCTGGCCTAGACCTTGCTGTGTAACCAAGCTTGACCTTGAACTTCTGATCCTTCTGCCTCCACTTCCCAAGAGTGCTGGGAATACGAGCGTGTACTACTTCCTCTGGTTTATGCAGTGCTGGGGGTCGAGGCCAGGACCTAGTGCATGCCAGCAATCACTCTATCAACTACACTACATCTCCATCCTCCAGTCTTCATAATTTAGAAAAAGATGCACTTCACCAAAATAAACTCACTTTATAACAAAATACATGCAGCCCTGAATTCATGTCATCGTTCTGAAGACACCATGATATAGCAACAGCAGACAGATCCAGGCTTGAAACCCAGGGCTGCACTGCTGTCTGTGCTCACACCCAGACGCAAAAGGACTGAACCACACCTACCAGGAATGGTTAAAAGAATAAAAAGAAATGCATGTAAGTATATAGCCATCAGTAAATGGTAGATACCTTTCTCTTTAGAGTGGAACACTCCAGCAGAGGCTGTAGCATAAATCTTAAACTTAGTAACAGTATTTCTGTGAAGGCCTGATTGGTTTTCTCAAAACCAAGGAATTTTAATCAAGTACAGTGTTGAGAAGACAAGACACACAGAGCAGAGGAGTGCCTCGATTGCCTTAAGATGCTACTGAAGAGCATGTGCAGGGCAAGAGAGGTGGCCCAATAGTTAGGAGCACTTGCTACTCTAGCAGAGGACTCAGACCAGGTTCCCACCACACACAACAGGCAGCTCACAACTGTAGTTCCTGGGGATCTTGTACCCTCTTCTGGCCTGCACAGGCAACTGCACATGTGTGGTACATCTATACTCACACATTTACATAAAAAATAAATAAAGGGCATGGTGGTACAAACCTTTAATCCCAGCCTGGGAGGAAAAATCAAGCAGATCTTTTTGATTTTTGAGACCAGCCTGATCTACATAAAGTTCCAGACCATCCAGGACTACATAGTGGGACCCTATCTCAGATAAATATTAATCTACAACACTTGGAAAACAGAGACAAGTGGACCTCTCTGAATTTGAGGCCATCCTAGTCTACATAGAGAGTTCCAGGCCAGGCAGAGCTATATGAGACCCTGCCTCAATAAATAAATACATACACACACACACACACACACACACACACACACACACACACACACACACACAAAAGTGTTTTCTTTAACCTTGAACAAAGTCCCACGAGTCCACTGAAACTGTAAACACAAGAAGGGACTCTTACCAACTTTGTACCAACTGTACGGACGGGGTCCTGAGAAGATTGTCTGGAAGGAGGCTTATTTCTTTCATTATATTTGCCAATCTAACAGGCAGTTCTTGTCGCAGAAACATAAATGAGGTCTTTTCACAAGCATTTACTGATCCTGAAACCAAGCACAGTGGAGAAGGCAGTAAGTAGAAGACACAAGCTTTCAGGAGCCAGGAAGTGAGGAGAAATGGGAGGGAGTCCCTTGGCAGGACCAGAGGGTAGAATTACCATAGTGAGAGGAAGGGACTGGAAAGCAAAGCTAGACCCAGGCAAGGTTGAGCTAACTGGTTACAAAGTAACCCTGACTCCAGAAGGACTTCCCAATTCCTGCTATTCCAATGGTTCAGTACAACAAGGTAAGTACTTTGTTATACTTCGCACTTACTATCTATTTTAGGATTAAGATAAATTGCGTGTGTCTGCTAAGGCTGGGGAGCCTGAGAAGAGGTGAGAAAAGCCCCATTCTATATGCCTCACTGCTGCTAGCCTTTAGACATTGTGATCCCTGACTCTGGGTAAATTTTGACCCAGGTATGTCAAAATTGACTAGACACAAATACAGTTCACTAGAACAGAGTCAGTGCAGACAAGGTTTTCAGGCAAAAGGAGGTAAAGCCACCAGCACCCTGTTAGCAACCACCAGGTAGAACCTACTCAATGGTCTGATTCCTGGGAAATTCACCTGCCCCCTTCTCCACTCTTGTATCCAGATGTTCGGCAGAATAGCTGATGAGTAGCCATCCCTTGGCAAACAACTTCACTTGAACTAAAGTCTTATTTCAGCGATCCACTCGAAACTAATTCAATCTTGCAGATGAAACCTTAGCAGAAGCTATCTTATCAACAGTAGGAGTATTATTAAGGAAAACATCTTGCAAAAGTTTAATAGCATATCCATGAACAAGGTGAACATCACTGCACCACAGCACAGACATTTAAAAACTAAAGCAAAAAAACGGGGCCTTGCGTCCTCCCTTAAAAGAGAAATACAAGAAAAACACCTGTCACTGCAAACCACAATTTTAAGATAAAGCATCCAGCCGCCACTTAATCTCTAAGGCCGGCCAACCATGTTATAACCTGACAACACGACACAGAGATAACTTTTTCTACTCCAGAACTTTTGAATTTCAATGTTAGAATTTATATTAAGCATACACACACACACCCTATTACTCCTGATGAGAAGTCAAAGGACTAATTCTGCAGTTCCTTCTGCAATCTGTTTCACACAGACAAGATCATGCACTTTACACGTGCTTGTGGCTGACTGCTGATGAAACGAACTTGCTCTCGGTGGAAACACTGCCGAGGAAAGAACTGGGCCAGTAGTAACTTGTTTCCCTGCCATCACGCCACTCTAGATGATCATCGCTGTGCTGGCACCGATCTCGCCTCTGCAGAACGCCACCCATGAAGCAGTGTGCGCTCTGGCCTTGAACCGGAGCAAGGCTCCCCGGAAGACACCGGGTCCCAAGCGCGCACCTGCGCACGTGCGCGGAAGGCTGCAGCCCGCGGGGCCCCTGCTTTGTTTTTCTCGCACACTAGGGCCTCAAGCCCCGGGTACCGGGTACGTGCCTGGCCTGCCAGCGCCCGCACCCTCCGGAGAGGAAGGAAGCACCTAAGACACAGAGGAGGCGACAAGAGGGAGGAGGGGTGCGCCTGGGAGGACGGGGTCCCGTGCACAAGGCCCAGCCGCCCTCACCGAAGTCCAGGAACTGCTTCATGGAGAGCGGCGACGGCGAGAAGCGCGCGTAGAAGTCCACCTGGCCCGGAACGCCGCGCTCCGACTCCGGCCCGGAGCCCGAGGCCGAGCCTGAGGCCAGACTGCGGCTGGCACTGGGGACCGCGCAGCGCGGCCTGACGCCCCGGCCGCCTTGGAGCAGCCTTGCCAACCTCATACCGAGCCCCGCCGGAGGAGCCGGAGCCCCGGGCGCCAGCCTGCCACTCTGTGCCGCGGCCCGGGCGCTACGTGCGGGACGTGGCGGGCCACGGGGGCGGGGAGCTGCTGTCAGCGCCGCGGCCACCGCCCCCTCGCTGGAGCCACGCCCCTGTGGGCGGGGCCCCGAGGGGATGGAGGCTGGAGAGGAACAAGAGGGAGCGCTACCCAATCCCCCCCCTCGCTGAAGCCACGCCTTGCTGAGGCCACGCCTCCATGTGGGCGGATCCTCGAGAGGACGGAGACGTGAGAAAAGAAGGAGCCCCCCATTGAAGCCACGCTTCCTCTGGGCGGACCCCGGGGGAGGACGGAGGCGGGGAAAGGGAAAAAGGGGAACGCAGCTCAGCCTAGCGGGTGGAGCCGCAGAAACCACCCCGAGCTAGCCGCTAGAATCCTGGCTGGCACTCGGAAGACAGCGCTGGGTAAAGATTTTGCTAATTCCCAGGGAGCCTGCGGGTGGCTAACGGGATCTTACGATCCAGCTCCCCCCACCCCCGCTATGGTGTACCCCCACTTCGCATGTCCACTTGCCTGTTTCCTCCTCCTTCCCTGTCCTAGCCGAAAGACGCTAGGACGTGCGTGGTCGCTGGCAGTGAGCCTGTTCCAGAAACGCCCCTGAATCCTGTAAGCACCACGATTTGCATGCATGTGAAGACTCGAGAGCTTGGAGAGCTCACCCCTGGCCAAATAGTGGCACAGGAGTTGAACTTGGGGTTTATGGCTCTAAAAGATAGCACGACTACAGTCCTCCGAAGAGCGCATTGGCAGCCCACCTTGAAGCACTTTCTGCAAGCAGTCTTGCACAGTCCTTAAAACTTCACTCTCTGCCTTTCTGTTAACTCAGTATCTTAAAGTCACAGTGTGCCTGCTCTGTCTTTTCAATGTCTAGAAATAGTGAATATAGGATTAGAGCATATTTAATATTTAATCCCACAGAACTGCACAGTCTGCAGTTCCTCCTAAAAAAAAGCACTTGTCTTCCCCACTGCTACTTCCCCGTACAACACCCCAACATTTGCGGTGTCTTAGGTGCAAGAAAATTATTGTGTCATGGGTGTGTGTTGTAGGAATTCAGCAGAGTTGCGATATCCAGGGTAAACATTAGAATGAATAGTTGTTTTCTAGAAGTACTTTGGCCTTGAAGAATCATTGCGGTAAACAGTAAAGAATCTTTGTAAAAAACAGTGATTGTTTTCCATGGTTTGCAGACTTGTTTTACTGCACCAAGGTCATGCAAAGGCTGCAACACTGAGGTTCAAAAAGACACCTCAGCACACCTGAAGCTCTTGGATTATTGTGTACTGCAAACGATACACAATAAAGAACTGGAGTCATGAGGGCATGTGACGCTTTCCTTTAGTGAGACATATAGATTAGATTAGGAACTTTGTTATAAGGAAATACTTTACCCAAAAAACAACCTTGTGTAACAATCAATAAATACACCTTTGTACGGCTGTTCCGGGGTTCAGTCCATCAGAGAGGCTGGACCTTTCTGCTGCCACATAGGCCTTAAATTTCATCTTGGTGTGCCTTTTTTCTTCAACTGACCCATGCTACACAGAACACCCCGACAGGTGTGAAGTTTATCAATTATGTAAAGTACACGTAAGAGAGAATAACACTTAACAACTCCATGCTGGTCATCCTTGGGTTTTGTAAAAATACATAAATAATGAATACTGAGGACATGGCTCAATTGGTAGAATGATTGTCAGTCTGCTGAAGCCCTGGGTTCCATCCCGAACACTACAAGGAAGAAAAGAAAACCCCAAACATTGTGTTGGCCCAAGCCTGTAACCTCAGCAGTTTGCAGATGGAGGTGGGAGCAGGGGTAGAGGGGAGAGGGGGGAAGGGGGTGGGAGCCGGGGAGGTCAGACGTATTCGGTCATCGTCCAATACAAGCCAGCTCCTATCTCAAAACAAAGAAACAAATAGCTGCCCCCAAACAGAGAGAGAGAGAGAGAGAGAGAGAGAGAGAGAGAGAGGAGAGGGAAATTAGATGTGTGCCCCTTTGAGTAAGCTGTTATTCTGTATCCACCAAACTGTGTGAGGCACAAAGGGGAACATTGTCCACCTAGAAACAGGTGCTTTTGACTACAGAGGAAGAGAAACGGTTTTTCAAGTATCCTGATGATACAGCAGAAACTGTGGTCCCCTCTTAGGGTTCAGAGTCTCATTTATAAAAGAATAGACTAAAGTGGAAGGTCAAAGATAATTTTATTAGAGTTTAAAAGAAAAAAACTCCAGGGCGGACAAACTGTCCATCTCAGCAGTGGCCTGGAGGAGGAGGAGGAGGAGGAGGAGGAGGAGGAGGAGGAGGAGGAGGAGGAGGAGGAGGAGGAGGGAGAAGAGGAAGAAAAAAAAGCCATGCTGTTGGCTTACCAGCGTGGAAGTCAACCGGGTGGCAGCAGTCAGCCACATGGTGGGAAAGGGGACCTTAGAGAAAAGAGAAAAGAAGCCCCAAGTACCAGGAAAAGCATACTTAGGTTCCTTCTGGCCAGCATCACAGAGGGAGGAAAGGAGGGGAGCAGGGAGGGAGGGAAAAGTTAAAAGCCGTGCCTTTCTGACTCTAGCCTCAGAAAGGTGGGCAGACCCAGCAGAGCCTCATGGTGATCTGTAGGGACTGTGTTGGGGGGGGAGGAATTCTGGGAAGGAACAGTACAGTATCTCATTAAAGGAAAAATCATTGCCTGTATGTCTTTAGCATAGCTTAAGGTGAGTCTGCTTTCCTAGGAGTCCTTGGCCGGGGGACTGACCCTGCCCAACCGGACTGTTAGATCTCCATCCAGGCCAGAGGTTCTATTCCCTTAGCCAGATGGAGTTTTTTTCTCAATGGGCTTTTACTTTTACTCTAACATTAAGTGCTTTATTGGAATGGACCCTGTAAAGAAGGACAGAGGAACAAGAAAAAGACATTTATTTCATACAGTTGTGGTGTATAGCCAGGGAATGATAATTCTCAAAAAGTGGCCTTGAATTCCAGCACATGCATCTTCAGCCCAGTACAGTGAACTGATTGTTTAGAGAAGTGGCAGGTCATTAAATGAAAATGTCCTTTACAAAAGGACCTGTTTTTATAGCTACTCCTCTGTCTACTGCTTTTTTTTTTTTTCTTCAGTTGCCTGTAGCTCAAAATAATATATCTGCCAAAGGGGGTGTATTTGGGGCAGAATATTCCAGTACCTTTCAACACCATAACTTCAAATAAGAGAGGCTGTTGTATGAAAGGATTAGGTTTGTTCTGGGTGACCCCGAAAGCAGTTGGAAACTATGGAGTAACAGATCTGATTCAACAGGGAAGGCTATTGTTGGTTACAGTCATGTCACTGAGATGGGCACCATAGAGGAGGGGCTCTCATCAGTGACCTTTGGGTAAGAGTCTAGAAAACAGCCCTATAAGGATGGCCTGTGACAGATGAGTCTCTCTCTGTCTCACCGGCCAGCTCCCAAATAATGACACAGAGCATTATTAATTATGAAAGCTGGGCTTTAGGTTAGGCTTGTTTCTAACTAGCTCTTATAACTTAAGTTAACTCATTTCTATTCATCTATGTGCTGCCACATAGCTCGTGGCTGTGACCTCTCCTCCTGCATGCCCTGCTTGTTCTGCATCTCCTGAGCACTTCGATTCCTCCTCCTCTTCCTTTCATTCCCTGGAAGTCCCACCTATACCTCCTGCCTAGCGATTGGCCGTTCAGCTTTTTATTACACCAATCACAGTAATATATCTTCACACAGTGTACAAATATCCCACAACAATGGCCCAGGGAAAGTGTGGGCAAACAGTGTAGTGTAAAGAAAAGAGCCTGGGTTCTGGCTTAATGTTTTGACTGTGCTATATTGGCTATATGCTCTTGACTCAACCTAGGAAAAGTACAACATATGTCTTCCTAAGTTACTGTAGCATAAATAGTATACTTATACATGTTAACATGATGCCCAGGCCTTACTAAATAGCTGATAGATGGCATCTCAATATTAGGATTTTATGAGAACCATTCACATATATGATGTGCTTGCTGTAGACTTTTCCAGAGGCTTAGGAGAAAACAATTTAAAGTTGAATATTAAACATCATTCAGATGGCCTCCTATCTGTTTCTTTATCTTTTTTTCTTCTTTAGATTATTTTATTTTATTACGTGTTTGGGTGTTTTGCCTGTATCTATGTATGTGTACCATGTGTGTGCTGTGGATGTCAGATGAAGGCATCAACACCCTGGAACTGAAAATCTGGATCATTATGAGACTCCATGTGGGTACTGAGACAAAACCCAGGTCTTCTACAAGGGCAACAAGTGCTCTTAGCCATCAATCCATCTCTCCAACTCTTCTCTTATCCATTTCTATTAAATTTGTTGTTGCTGTTGTTGGGTTTTTTTTCTTTTTGAGACAGAGTTTCTCTGTGTAGCTTGGGAACCTGTCCTGGAACTCACTCTGTAATCCAGGCTGGCCTCGAAATCACAGAGATCCACCTGCCTCTGCCCCGCCCCCTCCTCCCCCTCCAGTGCTGGGATGAAAGGCATGTGCCACCACCATCCGACTAATTTTTTTTTTTTTAAAGACAGGATCTCACTGTATAGCTATGGCTGGCCTAGAACTCACTATACAGCCACACTGGCCTCAAATTCACAGAGCTCTACCTGCTTCTGCCTCCCAGTTGCTGGTACTAAAGGTATGTGTCACCATGGCTGGCCATTTCTGCTACACTAACTCCAACCTCTCCCGATGCCTTCTTTCATCTTCTTCCTCTTCTTCTTTCTAGGTCATTCCCTGAGCTCCAGATTCTTCTACTAGATCAAGCATAGCATCATTCAGCTCCCTCAACCTGTCAACAGCAATGGGACATGGGCTGGAGACCGGACTCCCTGCATATTGCCTGCCATAGCAGCCGAAGAGTTCTCCTCGGAGAACTCCACTTAAGTGACGTGGGGATTCTTGACTTTGCTGCAGAAAAGAATTTCAGGATAGGCCGGAATGAAGCAGAGTTGAAGTTTATTAGGAAGAAAGTTTAACACAGCCTTAAGCATGAGGTTTATTAGAGAGATGTTCAAGGAATGGATAAGACACATGGAGGTGCCGGCATGGCCTTCTCAGGAGAGAGTCCTGCTTCTGTGTCTTGGCAGTAACCAATTATAGGATTTGGTGGCTCTTAAGTTGTATCTCTAAGAGTTCCTAAGAAATTTCTTCTCTCTCTCTCTCTCTCTCTCTCTCTCTCTCTCTCTCTCTCTCTCTCTCTCTCTCTCTGTTTTGATGAATCAGTGGGTGAGAGTCTTCAACTACACTCCAGGATAAAGGGCCCCTTCCTTTTTATGTCCCTTTACTTTTTTCCTTATCTTTCTTTCCTGCTTCAAACCCACTTCCATCTCTGCTGCTATTATCTGAGCACATCAAGATGCCTAAATGACATTAACCTGTGAGGGAGCACAATGGAATAGCAGAAACAAGGTTATCCCAGAAAACAATCATCTTTGTTGTTGTTTGTTTTATGTTTGGGATTATGTCTGTGCATGTTCATGTGTGTGTGTGTGTGTGTGTGTGTGTGTGTGTGTGTGTGTGTGTATGCATACGTGCATATGTGTGCACATGTGTGCATATGCCTGTGGAATGCAGAGGTCAGCCTCAGGTGTCATTTTCTATTGCTCTCCACCTTATTTTTTGAGACATGGTCTCACACCAAACTTGGAGCTCACCAATATGGCTAGACTAGCTGGCTAGCAAACCCAATAATCCTCCTATCTCTGATCCCCAGAGCTGGAATTAACAGGCCACTTAGCTATAAACATTTTTTATGTGGGTTTTGGGGACCTGAACTCAGATCCTCATGCTTATATGGCTCACACTTTGCCAACTGAGACATCTCCTCAGGCCAAATTACCAGCTTGGGGGTTTTATTATTATTCTTATGCTTGGGGGTATATTATGATGATGATGATGATGATGCTTGGGGTATTATTATTATTATTGTGATGATGCTTGGGGTGTTATTATTACTATACTTTGTTTGTTTATTTGTTGTAGTATGTGTGCCCTTGGGGAGAGGGTCCAGAGGGTGGTTGTAGGGGTGTACAGGAAGGGTACCGTGGCACATCTGTGGAAGTAAACGGACAACGTACAGGGACTGCTTCTTCTAGTGTAGGAGTTCCAAAGATCAAACTCAGGTCACCAGACTTGGCAGCAAGTGCCCTTACCCACTCACCAGCTCCATCACTGCTTTACAAAGTGGGTTTTCTCTTCCTCAAAGTGGATTCTTTATGCTTCCACACGATACACAGGGAACGAGCCTGTGGGCCATACACAGTGTGTTAAATTTTCCTTCCTCCCTCTCCCTTTCTCTCCTTCCTTCTTTCCTGCCCCAAAGCTGGAGAGGACGTTACAGAAGAGCTGTGTTACTTGTCCATGCAGAGTGTCTTATGTAATCATGCTTTAAAGTTCTCTACCTTTTTCTTTTGGAGACAGGGTCTCACCATGTATGGGCCCCGACTGGCCTCAAACTCCAGAGATTGACCCACCACAATGCCCAGATCCATACTTATACTTCTGCCATGCACACACACCTTAATTTAGCAAATTTGAGCCAGACTCTAACTACACCAAGAATTTATGATCCATGAAGGACGCGCTTAGCAGGAAAGCGTGGGGGAAGCAGCAGAAAAAAAGCTGGACAGTATCACCCTGTCTCCAATGCCCTCTGCCTTCAGAGGACTGGGAGTACAAAAGGAGAGAAAGGTCATTTATTCCTCTGTCTCTTCCTGCTGGCTGCCTTTGTGTTCCTCCAGTGTGGCCGCAGTTCCCAGTGGCTTAACTCAGCTCACACCCCTAAAAATAGTTCCTTCACCAAATCCCATTCCATTTCCCTTTTGAGTGTGCTGTCATTTCCTGCCTGAGATGTCTGTTTAATGCACTAGAAAAATAATTTTCAAGAAAATGGATAGAAATTAAGATGATCATGCAGCAATAAATTACCATGTGTCATACTTCTCATTTACACACCAACTAAATAAAAGCACCAGAAAACAGCAACAAACCGTATCGCCAATCCTAAGAATTAAGCCAAAGTCAAACAGGAAATAGGAAAAAGAATTTGCAAAGGCTGTCAAGTTGGTTTTTGCTGGGAAGCAGCAAGGGTGGTCCCTGGGCTAACAGGTTGACTTTTTCTACGGTTTACAGAGTTATGAAACAGCTGGAAGGCGATCAGTTCTCTGGGGTGGAGGTGCCTTATAGACATCTAGCATTTCACAGTTTCATCATACTGTGAATCTTTTTTCTTTCTTTCTTTTTTTTTTTTTTTTTTTTTTTTTTGGTTTTTCGAGACAGGGTTTCTCTGTGTAGCTTTGGAGTCTGTCCTAGAACTCGCTCTGTAGCCCAGGCTGGCCTCAAACTCACAAAGATCCGCCTGCCTCTGCCTCCCGAGTGCTGGGACTAAAGGCATGCGCCACCGCCGGCACTATGAACCTTCTTAACAGGAAATCCAAGTGTGCATGGTGTGGAGGCCATCTATCCATCAGGATTTGTTTGAGGGGAAACATTGTTTTTGTTTTGTTTTGTTTTGGAGACAGACTCTCACTATGTAGTTCAACTGTCCTAAAACTCACTCTGTAGACCAGGCTGGCCTCGGACTTCACCTGTCTCTGCCTCCAGAGTGCTGGGATTAAAGGCATGGGCCACCTCACTGGCCTTGGAAACATTGTTCTTTATGTAGAGAAAGTACTTTGAAGCAGAGTAGGAAATTCTTTACCCAGCCCTACCCCAACCCCTGACCCCCAACTCCACCCTTCCCCTCACACACCCCCAGTAAGGTTCACAAACAGGAAGTTTGCAGGAAGCCAGGAGAAGAATCCACTTTGCTAAGCAAAGGGGAAGGGCCACAGAAGGCCGCAAACAGGATCGTTTACAGCGTTGAGTAGTCGTTTTGTTGAGTAGTCATTTTGTTGAGTAGTCGTTTTTCTTCTGTTTTCTCAAGGCAGGGTCTTTCTGTGTAACCTTGGCTGACCTGGAACTAGCTATGTAGACCATGTTGGCCTCGAACTCACAGAGGTCCCCCTGCCTCTGCTGAGATTAAAGGCATGTACCACCACACCGGACTGTGAGCAATCCTTTAATGCCCACATTTAATAGTTAAAAAAAATTTTTTTTTAATTTTAAAATACAGTTGTTAAGACTAGTTTTGTTTTGTTTTTAAAATATATTTATTATGTATACAGTATTCTGTCTGCATGTATGCCTGCAGGCCAGAAGAGGGCACCAGATCTTATTACAGAGGGTTGTGAGTCACCATGTAGTTGCTGGGACTTGAACTCAGGACCTCTAGAAGAGCAACCAGTGTTCTTAACAGCTGAGCCATCTCTCCAGCCCCTGAGACTAGATCTTTTATGCCTTTGTAGAAATTGAAAAAAAAATTTAAAAAGATGAATTTTCCCTTAAGAACTGGAACCAATAGGGACATTTGCACATGAGTCTAAGTGAAGGTATGGCGGGGGATAATAAAGAATCTACAGCTGGCCACAGATACAGAGCACTCTGAACACACTGGGATTGGAGCTGGTAAAAGATCAACTTTGGGGGCAAGTGAGACAACTCTTGCTGCCAACTTTGATGGCCTGAGTTCAATCCCCAGGACCCACTTGGTGGAAGGAGAGACCTGACTCCTGAGAGTTGTCCTCTGGCCTTCTCATAGACGCTGAGGCATGTGTGTTTGCATGTGCACCTGCATGTGTGTACAGACACAGATAAACAGGTAAGTGTTAGAATTCCTAGCCACTCGCCCAGCTACATGACTGCACATGCGCTGTCCAGTAGCCAGGCAAGATGTTTAGTTATCCCAGGGACTTACATCCTACGTAATCCGTGTGCAGTGTGATCACATAATTTGCAAGCAGCATGATCACATAATCTATGCACATGCACGGCATAGCTACACAAGCCCATATGCACATGTGCGGGAGCGGGGGGACAGCTATAAAAGCGGGTTCCATCTATTCCTCTCCCCTCTTCCTGCATGATCATTCCATAGGCTATGCACACCCTTTCTGTTCCCTTCCCTTAATAAACTCTTATAGTGGGTTTTGCTGTGCCTTGTGGCTTCTCTCGTATGGTAAACAGTGCCACTTAATAAATAACAGTAAGTAAAAAAATAAATTTATTGAAAAAATACAAAGGAATAAACCATGAGCTTGGGCACATTAAAAATGCAAAGGTTTGACTTGAGCAGGTAACAATTATGAACTGAACAGCTCCGTTGTACATGCGTCTCCGGGTTCCACAGAAGGGACAGAAGGGAAAGGGAGATGGAGAAGATCCTGATTAAATTGGAACAGTGACATATTTGGTTCATTCCAGTGGGAAGACCCTAGCTAGAGGCTAACTGGTAGTTTTTCTATCGCCTAAGCTTGAGCTTTGTCTTACTGTTTATCTGGGTTGGGTTGTGGTTTGCTGGTTGACTGGGTTAGGGTTTTTATTGCTGTGATAAACAGCATGACCATGAGCAACTTGGGGAGAAAAGGTTTTATTTCCTCCTACACATCTGTGTCACAGTCTGTCAGTGAGGGGAATCAGGGCAGAAACTGAATCAGAGCAGGAACTTAGAGGCAGGAGCTAATGCCTGAAGACATGCTAAGGAGATGGGAGGAATAATCATCCCCTTAGAGAGCTAGAGTACTTATACTTTCTAGAAGCCTCTCCCATGAGGCAGCTGCTTCCGGAACGTCTGCCGTACAGCACTGCGAGGCCTGTCTGCTTTTCTCAGTTCTACCTCAAAAAGCATTAATTTTCCCTTTCTATCTCTTTTTCAGATAATGACCACAGTCCTAAGCATGCTGTCCCTGACACTCTGGGCTTCCTTCTTATTTCTTTCAATCTCCCCACTCTTCCTTTCAACATACAACTACTTGCCCACCTCCACTGGTGAACACGCCTGCCCTTTCAGACCTTAACTCAGAAGGCGTGGCCTTTTCTCTTCCTTTGAGTCGAGGTGAATGAAAGACTAGAATGTTTCTCCATGGGGTCAAACAATCTCCTGCTGAGTTCTGAACTATCAAAGGGTCTAAGACTAGAACATGCTTCCCCACAATACGGTGGAGCGATGGAGAGCTGAAGAGAAGGAAAAGATACAGCATGGCCGTCTGCCTTCCCTGTCTTTGCCTAAAAGTAGGAATAGCTTTTAAAGATATGGTTTCCTTTGTCTTCTATAAGGGAGAACAGAGGTATTGACATAAAACACAACTTTCCTTTCTTTTTTTTTTTTTCAAGACAGGGTTTCTCGGTGTAGTTTTGGTTCCTTTCTTGGATCTCACTCTGTAGACCAGGCTGGCCTCGAACTCACAGAGATCCGCCTGGCTCTGCCTCCGAGTGCTGGGATTAAAGACATGTGCCACCACCACTGCCCGGCTAAAACACAACTTTTATCCAAAGGGAGTAAGAGTTCATTTATTCTGGGCAAAATATGAGTTATCAAGGTCTGTAACATGGATTCACCTTGCCCTGAGTAAAGTACTCCTCTCTGACAGAGGCTATATAAAATTTCATAGTCACAGAACAAAAGAAAACCATAAATCAGTGTATTTACCAAATATATTGGTGAGGGCATCGGATAAGAGGGCTAGAGCAGAGTAGGAAAATCTCAGATTGCAATAGATGGCATTCTTAGCTCCAGGGTGGTAGACACTAGAGATGGGCTGTTTAATAACATAATCCAAAGTTTTGCCTAGTATTTTTTTTTTTTTTTTTTTTTTTTTTTGGTTTTTCAAGACAGGGTTTCTCTGTGTAGTTTTGTTGCCTTTCCTGCAACTCACGCTGTAGACCAGGCTGGCCTCGAACTCACAAAGATCCGCCTGGCTCTGCCTCCCAAGTGCTGGGATTAAAGGCATGCACCACCACTGCCCGGCTGCCTAGTATTCTTAAGGCTGTAAGGGCACATTCAGAGGCATCCTGGGCAGGTGGTCCTGTGGTGTATAAGAAAGCAGACTGAGCAAGCCAGCAAGCAGCATTCCTCCACGGCCTCTGCTTCTGTTCCTGTCTCCAGATTCCTGCCCTGCTCAAGCTCTTGCCTTGGCTTCACTCTCTGGTGGACTGTGATCAGGACATGCCAGCCACACAAACCCTTTCCACCTCAAACTGTTGATGATCATAGTGTTTATCATAGCACTAGAGAGCAAACTGGGGGGAAGCAGAGACCAAGGAAGACACCAGCGTAAACTCTGGGCCTCCACATGCACCCACACACGTGTGAAAAAGTTAGGAGGACTGCGTGTCATCCAAGGTGACTGGCTCATAACTTCGCCACAGTCTGGATGGTCTAGCCACTTACTCAGCCTGCAGTCTTCATAACAGATGTGAATTCAAAAGCAGCTTTCCAGTCTCACTAACTTGGAGGTGGTACCAGAGGAATCTGTGTAAACAAGCTTTTATCTGTTATTCATTTGCCAGACTTCCACGCCTTTTTCCTGTGTCCTGTCTCTTCTCTAAGAAAAATGTTCTGCTTTCTGTTGACAATGCACTGTTACAGGTCCCCAAGAATGCTACAGCTTTCATTTTCCTTATTGCAAGTACTGTGTGTGTGCGCGTGCGTGCGTGCGTGCGTGTGTGTGTGTGTGTGTGTGTGTGTGTGTGTGTACACAAGTGAAACAGTTGTGTCGTGGATATCATTCTGTATAAATAAAATGTTGATTGGCCAGTAGCAGAAAATATAGGCAAAACAAGCAAAAAAAAAAAAATCTAAAAACAGAAAGGCTGAGTAAAAAGACACTGCCAACCACCACCGTGAGTACCAACATGTAAGATACTGGTAAGCCATGAGCCATGTGGCAAGGTATAGGTTTATAAAAATGGGTTAATTTAAAATAAAAGAACTAGATAACAAGAAGCCTGCCATGGCCACACAGTTTGTAAGCAATATAAGTCTCTGTGTGTTTACTTGGTTGGATCTGAGCGCTGCAGAACTGGCGGGTGAGAGAGATTTGTCCTGACCATGGGCCAGGCAGGACTGGAGAAAACTTCAACTACACAGTAGTTCATCTCTTACATATACATATGGAATACATATTCTAATAAGCTTGTTTTTTTCTCCTATTAATCTCTTTTTTAGCAGGAGTCCATCCATTCCAACCCAAACACTCAAGAGTGTTTTGTCTTACACATCAAAGTTGAAGTTGAAT